GGAGACTGAGGAAAGGCAGCGTGGAAGATAGCTGGAGAGGAGAAAAAGGAAGCTGACCGAAAGACAATGGAGGCAAGGGGATGGGCGGGAGCGGATGAAGTAGGGATTTTGCACCCTACAGGCTAGGGCGCTCTCCTAATTATAAACACAGGTCTACTGATAACAATTAATTACAGAAATCTATGCTGAGATACCCCCTAGCCATATTAAATTCATAATAATCACAAAATATAACTCTTCTAGTAAGATATTGCGCATGCGCTAACACACTAACGTTGCCAGATTATGTACTGGCTGGGATATGCAGCGGGGACCTTACATGCAAGATCATCGTCCTGTTTCTTAAGTGAGATGTAATCATGGAATTTTATCTTACAAATCTATGCTAGAATACCTCCTCTCTATTTTAAATGCATAATTTTCGCAAAATATTAATATTCTTGAGAGATATTACGCATGCGCGAGCACCGTTTAAGGCGTGCAGGACAGACTGAAGACAACTGCATAATATAGCTTGCTGAGAGAGGGAGCGAGTGTTCGGAGACTGAGGAAAGGCAGCGTGGAAGATAGCTGGGGAGGGGAAAAAAGGAGGCTGACCGAAAGACAATGGAGGCAAGGGGATGGGCGGGAGCGGATAAAGAAGGGATTTGCACGCCTAAGGGCAGGCATAGGCGCTCTATAATTATAAACACAGGATCTACTGATGAACAATTTAATTATACAGAAATCTATAAGCTGAGATACCGCCGCTAGCCATATTTAAAATTCATTAATAATCACAAAATATAACATCTTCTAGTTAAGATATTGCGCATAGCGCTAACACACTAACGTTGCGAAGAGTTATGATAACTGGCTGAATATGCGAGGCGGGGACGGCTTACATGCAAGATCAATCGTCCTGTTTTTAAGTGAGCATGGTAAATCAATGGAATTTTATCTTAACAAATCTATGCTAGAATACCTCCTCCTATTTTAAAAATGCATAATTTTCAGCAAGAATATTAATATTCTTGAAGAATTACGCATGCGCGAGCACCGTTTAAGGCCTGCAGGACAACGACTGAAGACAACTGCATAATAAAGCTTGCTGAGAGAGGGAGGCGAGTGTTCGAGACTGAGGAAAGGCGCGTGGAAAGATAGCTGGGGAGGGAAAAAAGGAAGGCTGGACCGAAGACAATGGAAGCAAGAGGATGGGCAGAGAGCGTGTGAAATGCGTTGCGTTTGTGCGTGTAGTGCGCAGTGTGTGGCGTGTGCAAGCGTATAACGTGGGGCGTGCGTGGCGTAGGCGTGCGTAGGCGTGCGTGCGTGCGTACACGTGCGTAGCAATAGCGTGCGTTCGTGTGCACGTAGAACGTGCGTGTGTCCGTGGCCGGTGCGTGTGCACGTACAACGTGGCGTGCATGCGTGCGATCAGTGCACAGTACACGTGCGTGCATAGCGTGGGGGGAAGTGCGTGCGTGTGCAGCGGTACACGTATGCGTGCATGCGTGCGTGCGTGCGTCCCGTGTGTGTGTACGTACACGTGCGTGCGTATGCGTGCGTGCGTGTGTGCGCGCAGTGTGCATGTGCACGTAGACAGTGCGTGCGTGCGTGCGTGTGCACGTACACGATTCGTGCATGAGTGTGGTGGCGATGCGTAGTGCACAAAAGAGCCGAGCCACGAGTGAGTTGAATGACTAACAATATTATTCTATTATTCTATATTATTATAGATGGATAAAATTTAATACAGCATCTACGGCAAACAGATATATGGACATCACGTCTATAATGACTTTACACTAACCGCCACTTATACATGTCCACATGAAGGCTAGTGGAAGTTTCAAACTCCCGGCGCGGGGCAAGTGAAATTTATCAAGTGTAAAAAGCCTGGAACTACCACATTAGAGGACTGTGAATCTCGCGCGTGGCATGCGATGACCACGTAAAATGAGCGCCCCCGTCATCATTTTTTTAGTAATAACTAAGGTCAATGGGACGTAAAAAGAACACCGAGGGCGCAAAAAAAACTCTGCTGTAAAACCACCTCAGTGCCATTCGGCTAGAAGGCTGTAACCTAGCCTGGCTTTTTCCTATACCTATAAAGAAGGTATATTATTTCGCAGTTCTTATCGTTATTATATTCTTAAATTTTAATTTCTATTAATATACTTATATTATTATTATAATTATCTTTAATCGTTTATTATCCTTCTATTATAACGCTTCTTGATATAAATCAGTAATACATATATAATTGCATTTAAATAAGAGTTTTAATCGCGGTGATGTATTGTTGCTTATATCTGTCTATCACATAGAACATATATATAAGGCCACTGCTTGATAACATGATTTCAAATACTTATTCAGCCAAATATGGTTGCTCTGTGTTGGAATTTGAACATCTGACCGTTAAATGGCGGGCATTTCAGCTGGCTATATATTATATAGTCATATAAAAGACCAAAATTGATAACAATGTTGGTATTTCTATGTTGACATCTCTCTCTATATATCGCTGCCTAACGCTCCTCACAAATTCTGCTTCATATATATATATATAATATATATATATATATATATATATATATATAATAATATATATTTATGATATAATTTGATAAATAAAGATTAATACCGGACACGGTAGAAATTGACTTCTGTTATAATATATTATATATATTATATATATATATATATATATGTATAATATAATGTAATATATATATAGTAATATAAAAACCAAACGTTTCCAATTAATTTGGCTCTAAATCGGTTTATAACATAACATAAATTGCATATAACTGGTATTCAAGATACGTATTCCACTTGTGAACGTGTAATACATAGGCTACTTACGTGGATCGTTGCGCCAGTAACAAGAAACTGGCAGAAGGCTAGCGTGTAGGTTGCTGCTGTGGAGGTTCTAGTAAGGCCCTATTCTTAGTATATAGCACTGCTATGTACGCACCTGGGCGCGTTCTGCCAGTATCCCCATGCCGCGAAAAACTCTTCGTAGTCCATCACATCACGTCGGAGATTGATCCGCTAGTCCGTCCGCCATGTTTATAACTAATTGCAGCGCTTGCCAATGTTTAAAATAAATGCTAAACAATGTTTAGGGCGGGCGTCGGCGAAAGGCACACATTGAACTGCCTGACCAGCTCTACGACTCCGCAGGTTCCCGTTCTTCCTTAAAGTTCCCGTAGTTTTCACCTTTTACACATCCCGGCCATGCGAAGTGAGAAGCGCGATAAGCGTCAACTTGTGCTGCTAACTTTGCACCTGTGAGGCTACGCGAACCTCTGTTATATATGAAAATATGTTGACCTACGAATAAGTTATTATTTAATTCCGCTGTTCGTATTTGCAACTCACGGACCGTGAACTATCTCATTTCGTATCGGCTGGAAGGCACTTAGGTATGGGACACCTTTCGCTCACTGTACACACACGTTTTACGGATATCACAGAAGGCGAAAGTAGGTTCATAGGTTATTCTTATCAGAGAATAAAAAGTGAAATTCCATCGTCGAATCCAATGTAATGCGACAGTTATTGTAGCATCTCTTTTATAGCTACGAGGGAAGTTCTAAATTTGCTAGATTGTTAGCTCAACCTAATGTATAGCGGAGAAACTATTGGAAGACGTCGGATGATTGCTGGTAATTGTCCGCAGGCAGTGCAGTCTCCTCCTCTTCATCTCTAGCGTGCTCTCATCTAATCTCTCTTTCTCATACATCTAGCGCGCCTCTCTCTCATCTCCTGCATCTCCTCTCTCTCTCTCTTCTCTCTCTCTGCTCTTCGCATCTCTATCTCCTCCTCCTCTCTTTCT